TCTCTGGGACAGTCCGGGCGGCTGGACCAGCCCAGCCAGGAAGTTGCAGCTGTGGCAGCTGTATTACTTCTCTCTGGCTTAGGAGAGCCCGGCCCCTAGGGCAAGGGTGGATTTTGGGGGGATTTTCTCAAGCCTCAGGATGCTGGATCCCAGCCAGAGCTCTGATTCTGATCTCTGTGAACTTGGGCAAGTGCTGGTCCCTCTCTTTGCCCGGGGTGTCCTCATCTGCACATGGCAAGTTAGCCCCAGGGGCTGCTAAGGGGCTTCAGACACGATGCACGGGTGTGCAGCAGCCAGGAGGCAGCAGGGGGTCCCCACTAAAGAGTGGCCCCTTCTGCCGAGTAAGGACAAGGCGAGGAGCCAGGGATGGGCCGGCAGACCCAGCCAAGCCCTTCAGGCTGGCGGGGCAAGAGTCCGCAGCAGCAAGGGGCACCTTTCCTCTTTCTCCTCGGCCTCTGCTGCCTCCGCTGGAGAGAGCTGGGGGCAGGGTACGTCCAGAGCGGGAAGTGGCTGTGCTACACGGCTGGCGGGAACTGGTTTCTACACGGCTGGCGGGAACCCCTTGAGAACAGTAGGTCTGTGCCCTGCCAGCTGCTCAGGGAGGGCTGCCGAGTATGGGGCTCTGAGCTCAAAAGCCCAGCCTTTCTGGAGGGGCCCAGCCACTTGGTAAGGGGGTCTTCCTTCCCCTTCCTCTCGCCGCCCCACCAAGTCTGATGGACTTGGTTTCGGAGTCACAAGCCCTGGATTTCAATCCCTGGCCACACTTCCGGACTGCGAGGTCTTGTGAAAGGCAGCCACCTCTCTGCGGCTCAGTTTCCACATCTGGGAGATGTCAGGGACTGGGTGGGAGCAAGGCGGGTGGTGCCTCGGAGAGCTCTGTTGGATGGTAAGGGGCTTGGGAGGGCATGAGGGAGCGGAAGTGGGCTGCGTGGCTGAAGTTGGCAGAGGAGAACCTGGGGATTGAGCCATGAAGGGAAGGATCTCCACTTTTGGACCTGGGGGCAGCGAAGCCCCCTGGGGGTGGCTGAGCCACTCGGGAAGGGGACAAAGAGACCACAAGGGTCTCGCAGACCCTCGAGAGAGCCAGTGGCAGAGGTGGTGTGGATGGAGGGAGGAGACGTACAAAAGGACGGGGAATGGGTGGTGCCTCCTTGTGGGGCTAGTTTCTCCAGGGCTGGCAGGGCCCCTGAGCCCTGGAGAAAGCAGTCCCACAAGGACAACCCAGCCCTTGAAGGGACTTAGTGCTCACGGGGCTCTCCCAACCCCACTGCCCCTCGGGAGCAGGCCTGTGCCCTCGAGAAGGCTGTCTAGAACAACCCTGTCTTTGGCCGCCATTCAGGGACCCCTGCCATAGCTCTCTGTCTAGTTCTGTTCGTACTTTCAGACCTCTGTGCCTTTGCCTGTGCCGTTCCCTCTGCCTGGAATGCCCTTCCTCATTCTTCTCCCCCAAATCCTCTTTGTCTCTCAGGCCCAGCTTAATGCTTCCTTCGACAGTAATTCTTTACCCACCCCCCATCTGAAATTTTGGAACGCTTTTACTCAGGCTTGTATTCCTCATGTCTTGTGTGGTGCTTGGCACACAGTAGGAGATCATAGGTTTTCTTAATTTGCACCCACTGGGTGCTCAACATATATCTTTGTTACTCTGAAGTGGGACCTCAGGCAGGAGGAGGGGGTTAACTGTTTGGAGTCTGTGGTCCTCAGAAGCCAACAAGTCAACCAGGAACCTCAAAGTTCACTTAGCCCCGTCCCCTACCTCCCAGCCCACCCTGACAGGGCGCCACTCCCCATGGTTGTGAGAGCGGGTGGCATTTTCTCCATCTTACAGTGAGGAAAACCTAAGCCCAGCAGTTCACGGAGGATGACCAGCACCAGGGCCAGAAGCTGGTCTTCAGACACCCTGCCTGCTTCTCTTTCACAGCAGCCCAGTGAGCAGGTGTCCTTGTCCCAGCGTGAGCTCAGCACGTGCTTGGCACTCGTGTGTGTTTGTTGACTGACTGGCTGACCGACCTGTCCTGGACTCCATGGCACCCAGGGCTGTGGCGTGCGTGAAATGCAGAGCTTTTGCTCATGAGAGGCTCACTGGTTTGGGGGCCTGGGGAACATGTGCAAAACTCCAGCCAGTGGCCGCAGCTGCCTCCAACCAGAGGCTTTCCCTGGTCACAGTGAGATTTCTGCAATGACTGAGTCATCCCAGGAGACAGGATGTTCCTCTTTGTGCACCCGAGGCCTCTGTGATTGGACGGGCTGCTCTGTGGCACGGCTAGAAAAAAAGCCCTTTAGAAGTCAAAAAAACCCCACACGCCTCCCCCTAGCCACTTCCTTGGCAGAGGTTTCAGAAAGAGAAAAGCAAAGGCTTTTAGCACCTTCCACACCTGCCATCGTGGCAGGGTCCAAAAGGCCTAGTCAAGGTCAAAGGGTGGGCCTTGCCCGGGGCACTGGTTTAAAATGCGGACTCCTGGGCCCAGGGCCATGGAGTCCCCGCTCTCTTCGGGTTGACCTTAGGGATCTGCATTCTTAGAGGATTCTTAAAAGCACTCAAGCTGGCAGGGATTTCCAAGAGGGGTACAGGCGCCCCGAGAGGGTGTGGAAAGCAAGGATTAGAACTTCCTTTTAAAATATTTATTTTCTATTGGATCTTTTTAAAAATTCAATTTTAGATATATTTTTTCTAACACGTAATATATTCGTGTGAGAATGCATGCAGATGATATTATAAGAAATACATGTTAGGTATATGAGCAAATATATTTTTAATGATGAGCTGTGTGATTAAAAAAAAAAAAAAACACTGGAGACCACTCACTGGGCCAAAATCGACAGTTCCAAATCTTGCTGTCACTAACCAGCTGGGTGATCTTGGTCAAGTAACTATTCCATGCTGAGTTCTGGTTTTCTCATTTGAAGAATAGTTTTCCTATGACCTACTTACCTGTTTGGGGTGAGGACAGATCAAGAACAGGCAGTAAAGCTTCTAGCCTGGGTAGGCACAGCGAGGGTCCAGCATGTGTGGCGGGGGTCATGCGGAGGCTTACAGCGTGATCTGGGGGAAATTCAGGGAGGAGGGAGGAAGATTGTGTCGGGGGAAGAGGGTGAGGCCCCTGAGACCAGAGTGGGGACAATGTTAGTCCCCGTTCCTACCCCAGCCTTTGAGAAGGCGGCAGCCAATCCCTGGAGGACTCTCTATCCAGAAATAGTTGCCTGCTGACTTTTCCCAACGGTATGAACCAAGGCTCTGACCAAGACCCAATCGCACACGAGGCTGCAGGGACAAACACAGGGCGTGTCTGTCCTGGGAGGCCTGGAGTTATTCTCATTGTCTCCCGGCACAGAGGGAAGAGCCGGGACCCGAGCTGCAAGGTAACCTCTCATGCCAGCCTTGTCCCGACCCATGTGCGGCTTCAGCCAAGGCCCCTCTGCTCTCTGGGCCTCAGTTTTCCTGCCCGTAGAGTGGGTGCTTTGCATGAGCTCCTTGGGTGGGACCATGCCGCTGCTCTGTCAGCCGTGTGTTTCTAGGGCTCAGAGAAAGCGCTTGGGGGTGTTGGCCATAGCGGGAGGGGAGAGGAGATGGGAGGGAGAGAAGGGAGAGAGGGAAAGGAGGAGAGATTAGAAGGCAGGTGGGGAGGAGCCCTTCTGCAGCCATCCTTCCCATGCCACAGGTCCCTGTGCAACCAGGCTCTCGCTCTGGTTCATTCTCCCCAGGCAGCCAGAGTGAAACTTCTGACTGCACCTCGACGCACTCTCCCGTGGTCTGCATATGCCCACACTCAGCAGTCAGAGCCCCAGCTCCTGCCCCCACTAGCACAGCCGTCAGGAAACCACTTACATGTCGCCCCCTCCTGCCTCCAGGCCTTGGTACTTGATGGAACCCCTGCCTGAAAAATTTTTTTAATTGAGGTGAAATTCACATAACATAAAATTTAGCCATTTTAAAATGAACAATTCAGTGACATTTAGTATACTTATAACGTTGTGCAAGCACCACCTCTATCTAGTTCCAAAACGTTTTCATCACCCCAAAAGGACGCCTGTGCCCATTCAAGCAGTCACTCCCCTCTCCCCACTCCCCCAGCTAAAGCACTAGTCAGCTTTCTGTCTCTGTGGATTTACCTATTGTGGATATTCCGTACAGTTAGAATCATACAGTATGTGACCTTTTGTGCCTGGCTTCTTTCACTTAGCATCACGTTTTTGAGATTCATCCTTGTAGCACGTGTCAGTGCTTCACTCCTTTTAGTGGCTGGATGATATTCCACTGTGCAGATAGACCACAGCTTGTTTGTCCATCCATCCACTGATAGACATCTGGGTTGTTTCCACCTTTTGGAGATTGCAAATAGTGCTGCTAGGAAAGTGCGGGTACACGTATTCATTTGAGAACCTGTTTTCAATTATTTTGGATAATGGAATGCTCTTTTCACCGGTCCCCCACTCACGATCTGAAATCTTACCCACGAGCGGGTCAGGAAGGTTCCCAGAGCGCGTGGCCTCTAAATGGGACCTACCCTGACTTCCTGGGCCTTCCTGCACCCCCAGGGCCCCTCCCCGTGCTTTCCTGTCGCTCTCACTCTGATCTCTAGGTGCCAGGTTGTTTGTCTGCTTCCTCCTGGGCCCTCAGTTCTCATGTGAGCAGGGCCTGTGCCCCGGCGCCCACGTGTGGAGGCTGGCACATGGTAACAGGCACCCGCACACATGGGGCACCTGCTGTGTGCTGGCCACTGGCCTCCTTATCCCATATCTCAGGTAATTTTATAAAACTCTTGAGAGAGAGAGGAATTATTACCCCAGTTTTACTGATGAAGAAATCCAAGGTGAAGTGATTTGGCCAAGGTCATGCAGCTTCAAAGGGGTAGAGCCAGGAGCTGAACCAGGGCTTCTGACTCCAGAGTTCCTGCTGGTAATTTCTGCTTCTGAAGAAAGGAGGGGATTCAAGGATTAACGCTCTCCATTCGATTGTGTCCCCGACAGGCCACAGGCAGGATGGCTGGTGCTGAGAGGAGCCGGCGGGAACTCTGGTGCCCATAGGGGCAGCTCCATCTCCTGAAGATGAAGGGGCCCAGGTGAAACTCAGGCCAGGCCCAATGGCCAGCTCCGGGACGGAGGTCTACTGGGCCGAGTCAGGCCTGGGAAAGGGGCCCCGGCGGAGGCGCTGGGCCTGGGCTGAAAAGGGAAAGGATGCTGATGGGAGTGGCACGTGCAGCTTGGTAGAAGAGGTGCCCTTTCCCAGTGCCACCAGCCCTGAGCTCCTGGAGGACTTCCGCCTGGCCCAGCAGTGCCTGCAGCCACCGGAGTGGAGGGGCCCGGACTCAGAGCCCGACGGGCACCCGGATCCGGAATCAGGAGAGTCTGCGGAAGAGGGTGAGACCGACTCCCCTGCGATCCCACAGTGGTGTCCCCCAGACATTCCCCGCTTCTGGCGGGAGGCAGGAATAGAGAGAGTTTCAAAAAATTTTTAAGTTAAAATCTACGAAGCCTAAAATTTAAAATTTGTTTTAAGATTTAAGTTATATAAACAGTACTGTTCATTGCAGAAAAATCAGAAAATATAAGCCAAAGGAGAAAAAACTAAAAATTACTTATTATCCAGATAGCTGCTCTCTTTCATATGTGTGTGTGTGTATATATATATATATATATATATATATATATATATATATATATATAGTATATATATTTACATGAGTGTATATGTATATATATATATATATATATATATATATATATATATATAAATGTAGCATGAATATGCAACAGTATTCTACAAACTTTATTGTAACTTGCTTTTTTGTAACTTAATAGACATGAACGCTTTCGCAGCTTATCAAATATTCTTCCACAAGTCATTTCTAATGTCTGCTTAGGAATTCCGTGGTGTGGATATTCTGTAATTTGTTGGGCCAGTCCTCTTACTGCTGGGCATTTAGGTAGTTTCTCAGTCTTTGCTAAATAGTGCAGAGATATGTCATTAGTATATCTTTGCACACTTAATTTGATAATAACGTTAATATTTTAAATTGATTGGTCCAGGGGTTCTGCCCATTTCTATGATTGTTTAAAAATGCCAATTAGCAACGAGAATGATGGCTTCCCTTGTTTTCTAAAATAACTGTTTTCTTTGCATCAAGAACAACTGAGACTAAATTCCTAGCTTGGCTCAACAAGTCCCTTCTCCTCTCTGAATCTTGGTTTCCCCATCTGTGAAATGGGAGTAATAACACTTTTGAGCTTGATTACATACTGCTTATTGCATTCAAATATGAATGAAACGCCCCTGTCTTAGGATTCTGGGATCAGGCAGGCCCCCGTAGATGTCAGAGAAGCTGTTAGGCTGATAGTAGATTGTGCAGTGACCCCAAATTCCTCATGCCAGGTCTGTTTAAAGTGGGGCTTGCCCACAGCTACCCACTCAGGAGCTATTTCCGAGTTCTCCTTAGGGAATGGTGACAGGGATGCACTGGGATGAAAGGGCAGAGGCATCTCTTCCTGAGGTCACATGGTAACCCCCTGCTGTAATGTAACAGTTCTACCATGTCCTGTGCCCTTACTGTGTGCCAGGCAAAGGGCTGGGCAGGGCGCAAGCCATATCTCCACCTTTCCTCACCACCTTCTTCCAGGTAGGAGAGAATAGCCTCCAGGTAGAGTAAAGATTGCCACAGAGGTCAGCTACTTGTTCATGGTGCCCTATGAGGGATCAGAAGAGCCAGGATTGAAGCCAGGTCTGCCCGGTTCCAAAGCCCGATCTCTTCATCCCACTGCATGACCGCCATCAGCAGAGACTAACTTGCCTGCATAGCTGGGACCTTGCTTCTAAGTCCAGGACTGCTCTGAACCACTGCATGATCTTTGGCAAGTTACTTAACCTCTCTGGGCTTCAAGTGCACTGCTGTAAACAAGAGAGACTCGCTGAAGGAGATTTTAAGGAGATGAAAGATGTAGAGGTGCCAAGGGTAGGGGAGAGAGCATGGGGAAGCAAAGAGTGATATAAGGATTATGACAAAGGTGCATCTGGCCAGAGCAGAGAGTCTGTGCTTGGTGGTACCCAGACTGTATCTCACGAAACTTTGGATCTGTGCCAGAGGCTGACACAGGGTCTAGGACAGAGGAGGTGCTCCATAAGCACTGACTGCATAGATGATACACAGATGGATGAATGAATGGGTAGGTGGATAGGCAGATAGGTGGATGGATAGATGGATGGATAAGTGATAGCTGGATGGATAGGTAGGTGAGTGGGTGATGGATGGGTGAGTGGGTGGGTGGATGGACAATTGAAAGGATGGATGGTTGGATCAATGGGTGAGTGGGTGTTGCATGGGTGAGTGGGTGGATGGGTGAGTGGGATGGATGAATGGATATTTCTTGAGCACTTACTATCTAATAATTATAACAACTATCCATTTTCTGGGAGCTTTGCATACCTTACTGTCCTACTTTCTTCTTTCCTTCTTTCTTTTCAGTCAACAAATATTGAGCACCTCCTCTGCAAATACAATAATAAATAAAAACAGAGAGCATCCTTGCCCTCATGAAGCCTACGGTGTAGTGAGGGAGGAAAATATTAATGAAAGAATCACATAAATAAATGGAAAACTGCAGCTGTAATAAATATTTCAAAGTAGAGGTATTCAGTCATATGAAAGCCTATAAAAGAGAGCTTTTGACCTAAGTTAGAGAGATCAGAGAAGACTTCCTTGATGCTGTCAAGGTTGAGTTAATGTATGAAGGACAAATAGGAGTTAACTAGACAAAGGGAGGGAGAGAGGACCCTAGTAGAGGGATCAGCATGTACAAAGGCCCTGTGGTAGGAGAGGATGTGGCATGGCTAGAGCAGGGAGAGACTGAGGGGAACCATGGAAAGAGATGGAGCGGGAGAGCTAATGGCGGGTGGAGACAGGGACCTTAGGACCATATTAAAGGTTCAGCTCTCTCCTGGGAACAACAGGAAGACAGTGAAGAGTTTTCATGTGGAGAATAAGAGCGAGGATTGAGATGATTAGGTGGCTGCTGCAGTGGTCCAGACAAGAGAGGATGCAGACTTGGGCAAACCTGGTGGTTCTGGACTCTAGAGCAGCAGGTGAGTTTGAGAGCACCATAGGAGGTAATCAGGACAGGACCAGGTGACAGATTGGATTGCGGGGGGATAGGGGGAGGGAGATGGCAAAGATGCCTCCCAGGTTTCTGGTTTGTGCAGTTGGGTGGGATGATGTTTCCATTTGCTGAGACAGGAAACGCTAGGGGGACAACCAGGTTTGAGGACTGAGTTTGAAGGACCTTTGAGACAACTAGAGGAGGTGTTCGAAAAGTATTTGGCCCTATGGGGGGATCGCTGGGCTTCTTGCCATCACCATGTGAGATGGCCTAGGTAATGTGACACAGTGAGTCCAGACCTGGTGTATACTAAGCAATGAGCTGTCTTTCCAGAGTTGGAAGCAGAGGATGTGGACAGCCCAGAGAGTTCCAACTTGCCACTCAACTGGCCCCCGCAGCAGGATCCTCAACTGGACATGACTGAAGAGGAGCCAGATGAGGCCCTGGGAGGTCCTGAGGTCCAGGAAGCTGGAGAGAGCTCCCCAAGGTTGGGGTATGACACTGATCTCAGCTCGGGGGGCAATGGGAATACCAGCCCCATGGCTCTGGGCTGGGGTCAACCCACAGGCTGGGTGGCTTCTGATGAACAAGCCAGTGGAGACAAACTTCGAGAACATTCTGAGGTCAACCCAACTGTTGACTTCAGTTCTGCCAGGTCATGGAGCAGTGGAACTGTGAACCTCAACCCCAGTGGCAGTCTGGATTCTACCTGGGAAGGAGAGACTGATGTCCCCCCGCCCGCTGCCCTGGCAGAAACTTCACCCCAGAGCTCCAGCCACCACCTCCTAAACCCAAACGATAGAACTGGAGGAAGCGTTACTCTGGCGACGGCCACGGAATTCCAGGAGTCCTCAGCCCCTCCAGCCCAGAGTGTCCAGTGTCCTGAAGATAGATGGAGGAGAGAAACCACCAGCCTCTCCTGCCCTCAGCCCGGGGACCAATCCTGGAAGCGGACACGGATATCACCTAAGCCACTCCCTTCCCGATTCACCGGCTCCATCAGCCCCCTGAAGCCTCCACCTAGGCCAGCTCGACAGGACAGGCCGCCGCCCAGGCCGGGAGCCACTCTGGCTGGTCACTCATCTTCTGACGCCCCCAAGTATGGCCGGGGGGGGCTGAACTACCCGCTCCCTGATTTCTCCAAGGTGGGACCCCGGGTGAAGTTCCCCAAAGATGAGACTTACCGCCCCCCCAAAGCCAGGAACCACAGCAGGCTGCCTGAGGGCCCTGCCAGGCCACTGATCTTCAAGTCACCTGCCGAGATTGTGCGGGAGTTGCTGTCAAGCAGCGGAGAGGTCTGCCCGGGAGAGGACCCCCCTCCTACTCACCCCACGACCAGGGTACCCCAAGAATTTCAGACGCCCGAACAGGCCACCAAGCTGGTCCATCAGCTCCAGGTAAGCCTGGCTCATTTCTACACCAAGGCACCTGTTGGTCTGGGTTGGAGGCTGGTCAGGGTGGGGGGCCTTGGAGCTTGGCCAGGGGTCCCCTGCGATGAGCCCTTGGCTCAAAAAAGCAGTGATTGCACTCACGCTGCAAGGGTAGGCTGTGTTTGTTTGTTTTTAACTCCTGCTATGAAAAACTCAAAACATATACAAGAGAGAAAATAGTATAACGAACCCCCATGGACCCATCGCCCAGCCCGTGGCAACCTTTTTCATCTATGGCCTCACCTGTTCCTCCTCTCACCCTACTGGAGTATTCTGAAGCAAATTTCAGGCTTCAAATCATTTACCCCCAAATATTTTAGTGTGTGTGTCTAAAGATAAGGAATCTCTCTTAAAGATAACCGTACTCTCAGCATACCTAAAACTTAACACCAATTCCTTAATATCAACCAAAGTCCAGTCAGTGTTCACGTCTCCCACTCTGTCTCATAAATGGCTTGTTTATTTTGGTTTGTTCGGATCAGGATCCAAACACGGCTCAGATATTGCATGCGGTGGATGTGCCTTTTCAAGTCTCTGCGTACCACCTCCCCACCCTGCCTTTCTGTTTGCATTCTTTGTCAAATCTCTTTCTTCCTTGTAATTTATTTGTTAAGGAAACCGGTTTCTGTCCTGTAGAGTCTCCCACACATTGCGGTTTGCTGATACACTCTCTGATGTTTCTTCACGTGTCGCGTTGTCTTCTCTGTGTCGTGTGTTTTGCCCAGTTAGAGGCAGAGGCGTTTTCGAGTTGTCGTCGTCTGTTTATTTCTCCCCAGATCAGGAGCCCTGTGCCGGTAGGGATTTTTTTTGGCAAGAGCCCATCATAGGTGGTGCCTTCAGGGGGTGTAAACTGCCTGCTGGTCTCTCATTTGTAGTGTTAAGGACCCCTGATGGTCGTTGCCTTGATCCAGGCTTTCATTGGGGGGAGGGGGGGACAGAGTGGTAGTATCCTAATGCTAGGATTTATTTGCTTCTGCATTTATTTGCGGGAATAATTTATTTGCTTCTGCATTTATTTGCGGGAAATCTTCTATAAAGTGAAACTTGCCCTCATCACCTATTTTGGTTACCAAGGCCTCGTTCACATGGGAAAGACAGGAGAAACGCTTGATTCTGCCCTTCTAATTACCAGTGTTCAGAACAACGCGTCAGTTCCCTGGCCTCCTTCAAAGGCGACCAGTGACACTTGTTCTTGCTTTTCCCCTGTAATGACTTGTTTTAAGAAGCTCTTCAGTTTTATTTATGGCAAAGAGTGACTCTGAGTAAAGGCAACCGTGATTTTCAAGTCTTCTACTTTTCTACTTCCGGACACTTAGACGATTCAATCGGCCATTAAAAGATACTTATTAAGCACATATTACTTAATTCCTGGGAACAGAGCAGTGGGGAAGACAGATGAGGGCAGGGAATTCGGACCAATAGGCAAGTAGCTGCGGTCACGCATCGAGGCGAACCAGCCCAAAGGCCCCCCATCCCTGACTCACTGTCAGGGATGAAGAAGGGGTGGAGGAGTTGTCCTGCCACCTCCGACCCCCCGGAATTTGGCCGTGGGGGTCCGTATTGCACGTGAGCCTGAAGGGGTCTGCTGAACTACCGCTACAGAGCTCTTTCACTCCGAGGCCCCCTTTGGGGAATGGGTTCCCCGCGAGGGGTCTCACAGTGAGGGGCCTGGTGTGTGACCTCACTGCACACCCCCATCTCCCGCAGGAGGACTACCACAAGCTCCTCACCAAGTACGCTGAGGCTGAGAACACCATCGACCAGCTGCGCCTCGGAGCCAAGGTACTGGGCCCGGTGGGGTGGAGGGGGGCGCTCGGGAGACCCTGGGGATAGAGGAACCCGGTCCTTCCTTGTTCTACCACAAGGTCACTCTGTGACCTGGGGCAGTGACCTTGCCCTCTCCAGGCTCAATCTCCTTTACTGTTGATGAACTTTGAGTCCTTGAATGCTGGAATCCAGGGTGCCCAGGAATTTTCACCGGAAGCTCTCTCCTTCTAGATGAGCTCTGGAGTGAGACCACCTGGGCACAACTCCTGGTTCCGTTACTGACTAGCTGTGTGACCTTAAGGAAGTTACTTGGGCTCTCGAGCCCCAAGGGAGTAGCACAGAATTTCTGCTCAACCCCTGAGGCTGATACTTGCTAGATCACACCTTTGCCTTTCTCCTGCCCCAACTTCTCACCCACAGCTTCTCTCCTCACTGAATGTCTAGTGTGGGGCCGCGGGGGGGGGGGGGGGGGGGGGGGGGAAA